GTGACTCGGTGGCTCAGGGTGCGATGTGATTGAAGCGCTCCGTAAAGAAAGCGATCCGTGTGATGTCCCTGTGCAGGGATCGGTCATGATCGGCACACACGGGGTGTCTAGCCGACCTTGTCCTGACCCTCTGTAACCCCTGAGGTGCCAGATGACCCTTATTGCCGGTGCGATCCGCCCCTGGCCGGCATATAAATGGAGCAGAGCCTGTGGACGATCTATTTCCTTAAACTGAATGACTCTTTTCAGACGAATAGTCCCCCCCACCCCTCCTCCCCCCCCCCCCCCCCCCCCCCCCCCCCCCCCCCCCCACCCCCCCCCCCCCCCCCCCCCCCACCCCCCCCCCCCCCCCCTCCCCTCCCCACCTTCCTCTCTCTCTTCTTCCCTTCAAGTCACACCAGCCTTGTAATCAGCAACAAAAGCTGACATAAATCAGGAGCGGATTGACAGAGGCTGACAAATAAGTGACTGATGGTGGTGGAGTCACATTGACAATTGATGCTGGAAGGTGACAGGGAGGAAGCGGCTCCTCTATTGGAAACATGTGACTCCAGCACTCCCCAGCCTCGGCGCTCGGCTCATTGTGTCAGCGGCGCTCCGATTGGTCGGCGGCGGCTCGCTGTGGTTCTAGGACGGAATGATCTGCAGAAGCTGTGCGGGAGGGCGAATCCTCTACTGAGCTGTGCCGGGGACTTCCACTCCGATCAGGGCGGAGAGGGGAAACACCACGACATGCAGGCCTGGCAATCCGTGCAGCTCATAGTACACCGATGTCAGTTCCAGCATTCCAGACTACCTACCTGCACACATTTGCTGGGGAAAAAAGGGGCGATGTTAGCCCAGTCATATAGGAGCGAACGAAAAAAAAAGTGCAGAAACATGCGTTTTTTCATGCACATGAGCACATCCATTCACATTTGGGCGTTTTTCAACTCTTTTCCCTATGCCTGACTGCGGTTAATATGCACAATACCATTCTTTCTAAGGCCCCGCCCATTTACATCTCACAATCATGGACAGATTCATTGCGAATCCGTTTGTGATCCCAAGTCGCATCAAGACACGCAATGTGCTTCATGTCACCCCAAACGTGATGTGATTCTGCAACAGGGGCGTCCCTAGGGTTGGTGTCACCCAGTGCGGTAACACTTGGTGACACCCCCTCCGACGATCCCCGCAGAATGGATCGGATCTGTGGATTGAGCGTAATGGATCGGAGTCCGATACATTATGCTCCCCAATCTGCAGGTCCGATCCATCCTGCGGGGATCGATGGCATGCAACCTATATGGGGTGACACTGGACCCGCTCCATGAAAAGGTAAGTTGTAAAGAAAGCAGGCGATTCACGCAGGATGGATCGCATCCATCCTGCGGGGATCGTCAGCTTGCTTTACAACTTACCTTTTTGTGGAGCGGGTCCGGTGTCACCCGGTGCAGGCCGCACGCCCTGCACCTGCCTCAGGACGCCACTGTTCTGAAGTGATCATTCAAGCCCGGTGCAAATTTGCACTGGTTTCTATGCGATTTCCGCACCCCATTATAATCGCACCCCGTTCATACAAATCACTGCAGGTGTGTGTATTTTAAGTTAACGACCCCCCCGAAATCAGTTCACAAAACGTGGTGCGATGTGCAGAATGTGTGAACTCTCCATTCCTACACCATGTTCTAGTATGAACTGGCCCCAATTGTCCCTGTTCACACTTGGACTCTCTAACCCTAGGTTCACGCCTAAGCATTTTGCAGAAACGCAGTACAGTCCATTTAACATAATTTCCTATGGGATGTGTTAACATCTGTGCGTTTTCACCCGGTGTGTACAAAAAGTTGTGTTTTTGGTTCTATAGATTTCAATGGAAACACTACAGAAAAGCATGTATTGCGTTTTTGCTGCATTTTTACTGCATTTTTTCCTTTTAAATCTGCCTAACAACAAGAAAAAAAAAAATGAATAAAAAAAACAAAACGCACGAAAAACACATAAAAAACGCAGGCACCAAAACATGAAGCAAAACACAATGCGGATATGGCTCAAACGCAACCTGCATAGGTGTGAATTTAGCCTAATGTACAGTAAGCAGTAAGCCTGCCAGTGCCTAGTGAACACCATGATCCCTACTCTTTAGAGCTTTTTTTTTTTCTAGCATATAGAGGCACCACAGACTTCAATGGGAATGCCTGGAAACACATGCTACAAGTGTTTTTGCATGTTTTTTCATAAGCACACATATTTCTAGCAATGTATTATTGTTGAGACTGACACCAATGCTGGGGGTATTATTGTGGAGACTGACACCAATGCTGGGGGTATTATTGTGGAGACTGACATCAATCCTGGGGGGGTATTATTGTGGAGACTGACATCAATGCTGGGGGGGTATTATTGTGGAGACTGACATCAATGCTAGGGGTATTATTGTGGAGACTGACATCAATGCTGGGGGGGGTGGGAGACACTAGTATTATTGTGAAGACTGACATCAATGCTGGGGTATTATTGTGGAGACTATCAATGCTGGGGGGGTATTATTGTGAAGGCTGACATCAATGCTGGGGGTATTATTGTGGAGACTATCAATGCTGGGGGGGGGGGGGGTATTATTGTGAAGGCTGACATCATCAATGCTGGGGGGTGTATTATTGTTAAGACTGACATCAATGCTTTGTTTTCACCATGTAGTTTCATGATCTTGTCAATCAAAATATGAATCATGACCAAGGTATCTTAGTGCTGCTGATTGATACAAAGCGGTCAGTCACTGGCTGATTAACTCGGTTTGATCAAATATGATCTAATGGTGGCCAGACACTATACAATGTGACTATACAATATCTGTACAATTTCATTTAGATTTACCTAAATTGTATAATAAGAGGACACAACCAATCTGTCAAAGCATGTATGGCCACCATAAGAGAGGTTGTACAATTCGATTGGTTGGTATATGGTAAGCTTGAATTGAATCTAAGTTGATCAGATGGGACGTAATGGCTATGTGATCCTGTGTAGATTTGTTTCACATATTGATCAGATAGAAAAGCGAAGCGCGTGTTGCCAGCATCAGATCTGCTTTTTGAACTTCGTAGAGAGTTGGTTAGGCTGCATTCAATGCTGAGAGATGCAATGTGTTGCATTTTGTGTTGCATGTTAGGGCAGCACAGTGGCTAAATGGTTAGCACTTCCACCTGGCAGTACTAGGGTCACTGGTTCAAATCCCAACCATGGCACCACCTGCCTGGAGTTTGCATGTTCTCCCTGTGACTGCATGGGTTTCCTCCCACACTCCAAAGACATGCTGGTAGGTTAATTGGCTCCTGTCTAAATTCGCCCTATTATGTGTATGAATGAATGTGAGTTAGGGACTTTAGATTGTTCACCCCTTGAGGGTTAGGGACTGATGTGAATGTACAATATGTATGTAAAGCGCTGCGTAAATTGACGGCGCTATATAAGTACCTGAAATAATAATTTTTTAAAGTGTTTTTGACTTGAATGCCTGTCACATGACAAACATGCCAAGGAAGCTCAAGTACCAATTTTTCAGCACTGAGCCAAGTGAGTTTGGCATTTTACACGTGTTTTTTGTGTGTAGAAATGTGGGACAAAATGTACAACTACTACCCAGGTTTGAGGTGCCATTGGGGTTCTAGCACAATGCATTGATGTTGGAATATCGGACATTCCTGGCAGAAAAAGATGACGAAAGAAGGACTGTATAGCACTTGCGTGTATTTGTGCGTGTGCCTGTACATATGTAAAATATCTTCCAGCTGTATTTCAATCAAGGGAGTATGGTGTACGCATGTATTTATATATATATATATATGTGCGCACACATGTAAAAATGATGTCCGGTAACACATATTTCTGTATTTTTTTCACTGATCTATGCGCAGCACATGGTTATACGGTACATATATAGTGTGTACAGGCACATTGAAAACAATGATCTATTTTTACAGCAGCAAAAAATATAATGCCTATTTGCCTAAAAAGGCAGCGTTTTCACCCCAGGTTCACACTTGAGCGTTTTTCATTGCGTTTTCCAGTTTTCATTTACAGCACTCCACTCCATTTAGCATGATTTCCTATGGATCTAGTTCACATTTGTGCATTTGAAGAATGTTTTTTTTTTTACAGGGTCAGGGACTTTTGTTCTGCAGCAGATTGCGTTTTTTGTGCAATAGACTTTAATAGAACCCAGCAAAAATGTTGTGTTTGTGATGCATCTTGCGTTTTTATTTTTGCTAATAGGAAAGTGTGACAGTTCTGTGCATGTACTGCGACTTTAATGCAACTTTACACTGGCACTCAAGTACTGATGTGTGGGCAAAAGCATGCTTTTCCATGCCGCTCAGGTGTGAATGGTGTGCAAGTGCAACATGCGTTTTTGTGGCCAGAGTTTCCGTGTGGCTGAGGAGTTGCGCCTCGTGGAATCGCTGTTCATCCCGTGGCAGGATCATCGCTCTGCTCGGAAGGAGACCGGAGAAAGTGTGGAAAATGAGGAGCAGCTGGGGACACGAACCAGAAAATGTAATCCGAGGCTGAGCTCTGAGCGGAGAGGCGAAACCACCGAGAGAGGGGGAGGAGGGGGAGAGGAGAGAAGGGGGACGTCACATCCCCTTGACCCTCCAATCACCTCGGGGTCCCATTTGATTGGAAGGCGGCAAAGGCTTTAATCTCCGCTGTAATTCGGAGCCTTTTGAAGTGGCTGAGTGTGGCAGAGCTGCGGCTGTGTGCGGAGCGGAGCGGAGCCGAGCGGATCGGAGGGAGAGGAGGAGGGAGGAGGAAGGAGGAGTAGTGGGCGCTGGGAGCGGATGGGACGGATCTTCTCTCCTTCAGCTCTGGATATCACATCAGGACACTGACACCGACACTGGCTGCTCCTGGTCGGATCTAATACGGGATTATTCTCCGGGATCCTTATTCTACCTACCTGGCTGGGGTCGGTCTCCCCCTCCCCCCCACTGCACCCCACCAATGCCTGTCCGGGGGACATGATCAGCTCGCCAGTGGCTTCTGGAAGTCGTGAGAGTCCTACAGCCCCGGACAGCGGAGACAGCTCGGGGAGACGAAGCGGAGGAGCCCCCCAGGTTCCCCAGTATCACAGAGCCTTCATCCACCCCGTACCCCCCAGCGATCCCCTCCGCCAGGCCGGACGACTGCCCATCAAAGTGCTGAAGATGCTGACAGCCCGGAGCGGACACATTCTGCACCCCGAATACCTGCAACCCCTGCCCTCCACCCCGGTCAGCCCCATCGAGGTAACTGGATACTGGGGGGACCCAACCCAACACTGACCCCACAACCACCCCAGTCCTCATCCGACACCCCCCATACACCGAGACACTTCATCACTGGAGGGATCACCCCCCCCCCCCCCAGATCCTTGTCCCCCTCATCCATCCGACACCCCATAGACCTGGACACCCCATCACTGGAGGGAACCCACCCCCCACCCCATTACCCATCACTGGAGGGAACCCACCCCCCCAGATCCTTGTCCCCCTCATCCATTCGACACCCCATAGACCAGGACACCCCATCACTGGAAGGATCAGCCCCCCCCCCCCCAAGGATCCTTCTCCCGCTCATCCATCCATCCAACACCCCATAGACTGTGACACCCGATCACTGGAGGGATCGCCCCCTCCCCAGTTCCTTGTCCCTCTCATCCATCCAACACCCTACAGACTGTGACACCCCATCACTGGAGGGATCAGCTCCCCCAGATCCCTCTCCCCCTCATCCATCCTACACCCCATACACCGGGACACCCCATCACTGGAGGGATCAGCCCCCCCCCCCATGCCTTCTTCCCCTCATCCATCCTACACCCCACAGACTAAGACACCCCATCACTGGAGGGATCAGCCCCCCCCAGATCCTTGCCCCCCCTCATCCATCCGACACCCCATCACTGGCGGGATCAGTCCCCCCAGATCCTTGACCCCCTCATCCATCCGACAGCCCATGCACCAGGACACCCCATCACTGAAGGGATCAGCCCCTTCCCCCAGATACCTCCCCCCCTCATTCATCCGACACCCTATAGACTGTGACACCCCATCACTGGAGGGATAATCCAAGGGTCCCCTGAGCCCCTATAATCACCCCGATCTCTAAATGGCTCGTCCTACTCCACATCTCCTCTCCTAGACTCATCTCCTAATCCCCTATTTTTAATCTGATCCCTATAACCAGTAACACCCCGATCACTGGATGGCTCTTGCTACTGCACTCCTAATTCCAGGTTCCCCCAATATTCCTAGGTATTTAATATGACCCCCATAGTCAATGACATCCCGATCCCTGCATGGCTTTTCCTTCTCACCAACTCCTCTCCTCATCTCTTCTCCACTTCTGATCCCAGGTTCCCCTGTAATCCCCGGACTTCAATCTGCTGTAATCAATGACACCCTGATTATTGGCTGACTCTTCCTACTCCCATCATATCTCCTGATCTTTTATGTGACCCCCCATAGTCGGTACACCCTGAGTGTTCATGACACCCTGATCACTGGAGGATCTTCCTCCCCCCATGACTTTCCGATGTCTCCTCTCCCCCCCCAGTCCCCGGCCCCTCCACACTCCGCACATACCGGGTGGCTGCTAATGACACTTCACAGCCCGATCTCTGATCGCTCACACATCGCACTCTGGGGATCTGATCGTATTATCGGAGCAGGAATACAATTCACGGCTCTGTCACTATCCATCCCTCGTGTGTGGGAGGATCCGCCGGGGACTTTCTGCTTCCCTTCAGTGTCATGGGGCCTCTGTGTGTGTATGGGCAACCTCCAGGCCAATCCGTATAGAATATACGATCTATACCAACATGTACATAGAATATATGTTCTATACAATCCGTATAAAATGTATAATCTGCACAATGTATCCAGAATATATGATCGCTACTAAGTATGCAGAATATATGAAATACACAGTCCATATAGAGTATATGATCTATACCACCATGTATATAGAATATATGATTTCCATCATGTACACAGACAGAATATATCATCTACACAGAATATATGATCTATAAAATGTATCCAGAATATATGATCTGTACAATGTATACAGAATATATGATCTATACAATGTATACAGAATATATGATCTATAAAATGTATACAGAATATATGATCTATAAAATGTATACAATGTATACAGAATATTTGATCTATACAATGTATACAGAATATTTGATCTATACAATGTATACAGAATATTTGATCTATACAATGTATATAGAATATATCATCTACACAGAATATATGATCTATACAATGTATACAGAATATATGATTTACATCATGTACACAGAATATATAATCTACACAGTCCATATAGAGTAAATTATCTATATCACCATGTATATAGAATATATGAATTGCATAATGTACACAGAATATATAATCTATACAGAATATATGATCTATACAATGTATACAGAATATATGATCGCTACTAAGTATGCTGAATATATGAAATACACAGTCCATATAGAGTAAATGATCTATATCACCATGTATATATTATATATGAATTGCATAATGTACACAGTACACAGAATATATCATCTATACTGTATACAGAATATATCATCTATACAATGTATACAGAATATTTGAACTATACAATGCATACAGAATATATGATCTATACAATGTATACAGAATATTTGATCTATACAATGTATACAGAATATATGATCTATACAAAATATACAGAATATTTGATCTATACAATGTATACAGAATATATTAAATACACAGTCCATATAGAATATATAATCTATACAATGTATATAGAATATATGATTTACACAATGTATACAGAATATATAATCTACATAGTCCATACAGAATATATAATCTACACAGTCCATACAGAATATATAATCTACACAGTCCATATAGAATATATAATCTATACCGCCATGTATATATTAGAGTACAGGGAGCGATCTGCCAGGGAGCCCTTCGAGGAGATCGTACGATCTGTGTGTGGACAATACTGTAGTATAGGAATGATAGGACAACAGGAGGACTGCCTCTGCTACACAAAGTTTGCCGACTTCTCTGACACCCCCCATAGGACAGACATCACCCCCCAATGACCCCGCCACCCCCATCCCTGTGCCTGCACACCTACATTCCTCAGCCATGAGCTCACCCTGTGATAGATGATCCTTACACTGACTACTCATGCTGGATTACAGATGACAGAGGGGGATCACCCAGTACCCCCCCAACCAGTGGCCCTGGGGTGGCTGGGGGCATTTACTATACCCATTGACTGTGTATGGGGATACGTGTGTGATCGATCAGGTTTAAATATCTCTATGCCTAAGTCATTTCATCTGATATATTATTATTATTTACATTTTTCACAACCATCACGTGTGTGAGAATATTTGTATGATATATAAATATTTATATTTGGTTATATTGGCGTATATGCAATAAATGATACACACTTTTATGTTGTGTGTGTGTGTGTGTGTGTGTGTGTATATATATATATATATATATATATATATATATATATATATATATATATATGCATAGGTATCTGTGCTGTGTGTATATGTGTGTATATATAATATACTTTATATATATATATATATATATATATATATATATATATATATATATATATATACATACATACATACATACACAGAGTATATATTTAAAAACCTATACTATATATCATCTCATACACATATACATAAGCCCCATGCTTGTAATAGTATACATAGAGCTGCCTTGACATAGAATGTAGTGTGTTGTATAAAGGGGGTGCTGTGGCCCTATGTGACCCCTGTATGTCTGTTTCCTCCAGTTGGATGCCAAGAAGAGCCCCCTGGCCCTGCTGGCCCAGACCTGCTCTCAGATTGGGAAGCCAGACCCGGCCCCTTCCAAGCTGTCGTCGGTGACCGGCTCCTCCAGCGGGTCTGATAAGGAGTCCAAGTCCGGTCCGCTGAAGCTGAGTGACATCGGGGCGGAGGACAAGTCGAGCTTCAAGCCGTACTCCAAGCATCCGGACAAGAAGGAGTCCAGCTCGGGCGATAAGTCTGGATTCCGGGTGCCCAGCGCCGCCTGCCCACCCTTCACCCCCCGGACTGGAAGCCCCAGCTCCCCCCGCACCCCGCCACCACCATCCTCTGAGTCCAAATCCTCGGGGGAGTGCTCGGAGAAGAAGGACGCGGAGCAATGTGCGAAGAGCTCCTCGTCTGATGGCGGATCCCACGGGAGGCTGAGCGTGGAGCTCCAGCAGACTCACTCGGAGGGGGCCTCAGGCTGTAAGAACCTTTCCGCTGCTCCTTCCCCCACTCCGGTCTCCTCGTCCTCCAGCTCCTCTGGCTCCGTGTTGGGATCCGGTCTGGTGGCCCCGGTGTCCCCCTACAAGCCAGGCCACACGGTCTTTCCTCTGCCTCCGGCTGCCATGTCCTACCCTGGCACCCTAGCCGGAGCCTATGCCGGCTACCCTCCACAGTTCCTGGCACATGGAGTCTCCTTGGACCCCACCAAGGGGAACTCTTTGGTGGGAGCCCAGCTGAGTACCCTAGGCTGCCCCAGTAAGTCTGCTGCCTCCAGCCCCCTCACAGGGGCCTCTCCACCCTCTGTAATGACTGCCAGCCTGTGTAGAGACCCCCCTACTGCCTCAGCTACCACTGCGCCTCCCAGTTGGGTGCCAGCGCCACTTGTGCACATGACCTCAAATCTGGATACCCCCTGGTGTACCCCAGTCATGCCCTCCATGGGGTCTCACCACCTTCTCTACCCGGGCACCCCCTCTACCCCTATGGTTTCATGCTTCCCAACGACCCCTTGCCCCATGTATGCAACTGGGTTTCAGCCACAGGCCCTTGTGACAAGCGCTTCTCCTCCTCCGAGGAACTGCTGGGCCACCTGCGGACACACACAGCCTTCCCAGGCTCCGCGGACAAACTGTTGCCTGGATACCCGAGCTCCTCGTCCCTGGCCGCCGCTGCCATGGCTTGCCATATGCACATGCCACCCACAGGGGCCTCCCCCAGCCATCTGACTCTACGCAGCCCTCACCACCACCCCTTGGGACTAAGTAGCAGCCGCTATCACCCTTATTCCAAGAGCCCTCTTCCTTCAGGGGGGGCCCCAGTGCCAGTGCCAGCAGCCACAGGACACTACTACTCCCCCTATGCACTCTATGGGCAAAGACTTACAACAGCGTCTGCTTTAGGATACCAGTGACTACCTACCTGGGCGACTCCAACCCATGGAGACAAAAAGACTTGATTGTTTTTTTTTATTTTCTATTGAAAAAAAAAATAGATTTTGGTGTTCATTTGAGGACTGGATCCATGGACACTGTTATTTATTTATGTTAGCTCCAAGCAGACTCGGTCATAAAAGTGCATTTCTGGACAGGTAAAGTGGCAACTCCCCTTGTAGAGTTATAAATAACAGGGACACAATAACGCATATCTCTTTAATGTTACTTAAACAAAAAAAAAAAGTAAAAAAAAATGACTGCTTTTATTGTATTGTATCTTATTTAACGTCTGTTTGGGTTCAAGCCCTCCCCCCTCCAAAATCTTACATACAGTGCATGTTTGTTACTAAAACAACCAGCAGTTTGTCATAATTTCAAATTGCCGTTATTTTTAAGGTGTAAACGGTAAAAAAAAAAGAGAGAAATTGGTATTTTTTGTATGTATTCTGGAAGAAAAAAAAAAGATTTTATTGCAAAAATTCCTAATTTGCCTTATTTTGTTCTGGTCTAAATCCATTCATTTGTGCATAATATTCACCCCTAAAAAAAAAAATATGACAAGCTGTGTGCAAGCTTGGTCGGTCATTTTGCATCATGTATCCAACACACAATGTATTGCTTTCAAAATTAAAAGGAAACAGTATATTTAATTTACACACATGGTTTACTTTTTTATTACTTTATTTTTTTTTACCTAAATGCCTAGCAGGGTTTAATTTTTCATACCTAAATACCTAGAAGGGTTTAATTTTTCATACCTAAATACCTAGAAGGTTTAATTTTTCATACCTAAATACCTAGCAGGTTTAATTGTTCATACCTAAATACCTAGCAGGTTTAATTGTTCATACCTAAATACCTAGCAGGTTTAATTTTTTATACCTAAATACCTAGTCTTTTTCTTTTAACAAACAAAATACAATGTATCTTTCCATTTCCTAATTTGTTCACAATGTTCTTAAAAAGGATTAAAAAAAAAAACCCTAAATAATTTGATTTTTTTTTAAATGGGGAAAATATAATTACTGGTGCGAGTTTTATAGCTTTATATTTTTGTAGTAATTCGTAGCTTTTAAACAGGATTAAAATGAATCTACTTTAACTGCAGGTTTTTGATCTAAAGCTAATAATATCAATTGATTTTTAAGGTCCAATTTGGAAAGATATAAAACAGCCATAAATGAACATAAACCGAAATGTAAAGCTCTAGAAATTAAAAGTGACCAGATTTTATTTCTAGATCGAATATTTATTTGTGGCATCAAATTCCCACTCCATAGGACAAGGTTAATTATTATTATAATTATAATTAATATTATCTGTTTGATATATTTATATGATCATTCAGAGTGATCCGAATGTGCTAAATTATTTATTTTTTCCTTTTACGGTGGGCAACAAAAATATAATAAAATAAATATTTGTAGGAAGCATTTTAATATTTTTGACCTCCGTTTATAGACGATTGCCGGAAAATATAATTTAGTGGATCTCTATGAAATCTTGCTATAGATCAGCGCACAGGGATGGTGGTCAGCGTTACACACGTACAGATGTCTAAGGGAAATGACAATCGGTGCTAAGTGATCTGACAAGTCCAGGGTGGAAATTAAAGGAGGGGTCATCTCCTATATGATCGGCATGGGCTGATGATGTTTGACAATTTAAATCTCTTAAAACAAACGCCTGAACTTAATGCGATGCGATCTCCCTGAGCTGGGAAGTAGGAGCTTTCATTTCACGCTGGCTATGGCGCTATGCACAGGCGTCGTGTAGCTGGTTTGCAGTCATTTCCTCTCTGTGTAGTGTGATGGATCCTTTCCCTGCATGTCACACCGGGCTCTGCCTGACTTCTACCAACAATCAGCCCAGGGACTGGAGGGTGGGGTGCAAATGAGGCCACCAAACCAACACTGATCTTATACTGTGTCACCAGCAGCTGCTGCTACAGGGCGATCTGTCTATGACAACTTCTAAGAATGACACAGGCCTGACACTCATCTCATTCCTGAACCAAGCAGGTGACCAAATACTTTCAGGAGATATGGGACTTGGAGGAAAAAAATACATTTATACACACACAGTGCTCATTTTATTTTTCAGGGATCCTTACCTTATACGTGAGGTTTTTTTCTTTTTTTTTTTTTTTTTACTGTTTTGGAAGTCAAAGAGCAAAGTTTTACCTTTAAATAAAATTGTGCATTAATATTTGCATAGTTGTGTTTCTGGATGCTGTAAAAAATAGCAGTTTAGACTAGGCAGCACCACCACAATACCATTCCCCAAGGTGTGT